CCTTTCTTGCAAATCTTTTCCACATGTCCCAACTGATTGCACTTCTTACATCTCACATCAGGTCTCCACCAACAATTTTTTTTGTAAGTGATTTGTCTTCTTACAGTGTTGGCAAGGAGAAAAATCTCCAGTTTTCTTGTTGTTGCTGCTACCATCACCTTTGTTATTTTTCTTGTTCTTCTTCTTGCCTTTGTCACTTTTCTGGATTTGCATTTTAGCTTGGAAAGCTCCTTCCACCAAACCTTCTTGCCTCATTTGCTTTCTTTGTTTTTGAGCCTGTAGAGCATTTAACAATTTTGCTAACGTAATCTTTGACAGATCTCTTAAGTTTTCCAGAGAGGTAATTATAGCTTTGAATTTTTCAAGGATTTTAACAAGAATTTTTTAAACAATTCTAGAATTAGAAAAATTAGTGTCAAGAAGTCTTACTTTATTGGCGATACAGAGAAGTTTGTCTACATTATATTTGATAGTTTCTGACTCTTTCATCCTTTGCATTTCAAATTCTCGAATCAAATTCAGTACCTGCATTCCTTCGATCCTTTCACTTCCTTTATATTTTTTCTTTAAGAAATCCCAGATCTCTTTAGCAGTTTTCATTGTCATTATTCTGTTGAAAATAACATAAGAGACAACTGTAAGTAAAGTTGATCTGGCTTTTGATTTTCTAAGCCTCATTTCTTTTTGAAGTTTGATTTGCCCAAGAGTTGGATTGTTGGATAACTCAGGAACATCATATTCTTGCTCTACAGCTTCCCAAAGATCATGAGCTTTGAGATAAACTTCTATTTTAACAGCCCACATTTGATAATTTGTTCCATCAAACACTAGAGGTGCAATTGGAGTGAATGAAGCTTCTAAATCCATTTTCTGTTTAAAGTGAGGTAAGGGTTAGTGTTTAGGAAAAGTGTTTAAACTCTCTCAATCTCACAAAAACCCTTAAGAATATAGCTATGATACCAATTTGTTGTTGTATTTTTGTTTTGTGTTTGTTTGGCAAAGTAAATATAATAAAAAGCAAAAAAAGATAGAGTTTATAAGGTTGAAAGGGAACTGTAGAAATCTATTTTTTTCATTGACAGAAGCACCTTTTTATACAAGAATTTGAGTAACTAACAGTCTAAAAATCTGCAAAAAATAAAGACATGTTTATCAAGAAAAAAGAGTTATTCTACTCCTGTTTTATTTGCAATAAAACCCTGATTTTGTGTAACTAATTTTGACTAGAAGTAAACAACTCTAGAGACCAAGTCTTCTGCAGTAAATGAGGCAGCTTTCATCAACTTTCCAAGTGACAGGAATAGGGTAATTGACTAAACAATACAATAGTCCTCTCACAATCAAAGTGTGACAAACAACATCATCAATGTTTTATTAAGACACTGCTGGTAAGTCTTTAGGTTTCTGTTTCTCCAAATTAGTGATTGTTCCAAGAGGCAAATTTGAAGATTTAAGGTCAAAGTTTGGTGTATTCAAAGAAAAACCTAAGGAGTGTTGACTTATGAGTTTTTTTTTAAATAAAAACTTAAACAAATCTCTAGAAAAATTAATTCAGGTTGTTGAATAAGCATAGATCATTGTAAATTTATCTTTTTTTGGAACTTGTATAATCAATAAATTTGATTTAATGATCATGTTGATTACCTTAAGTTTTTTATGGATTTAAAGAGTTGAATGTATGCTGAAAATATCAATAAAAATATCATTTCAGCAATTTCCCCTTCTTTCTTCCTTGTAGTTTGCACTCATTTTTCATAAATTTCTCAACTTCTCACTCAATTTTTCACAAGGCTCAACAGATCAGACCAATTTTTTTAAGGGACTCTGTTCCTCATTCCAGTACAAAAAATGGCTTCAAATGTGGACTTGTCAGCTCCTCCAGTATTTACAGTAGATAATTATGATTATTGAGCAATGAAAATGGAAGCCTATCATCTTATTTATAGTTTGTAATACCTCATCCATTACTGTGCTAAAATGATTTAAAAACTCTATTTATTCGGATCTTTAGCCGCCTTAAACTAAATAAATTTACGCTATTTAATATTTCTCATGATTCGTAATTTTGATTTATTTTTATTTTTATTAATTTTATTTTATTTTAAAAATTATTTTATTTTATTTTTAAACTAAAAGAAAATTTTAGAAAGAAATAGGAAAACGGCGAAATAGAAAAAACCTGCCCGCGGAAAAAATCCCGCGAGAGGGCGATTTGCTCGCGCGAGTGCTGGGCACTGTGCGTGCGTGCATGCGCACACAGTGGCCGCAGGGCGTGCGCATGTCCCCTTTCCACGCTAGCACGCATGAGATGTACGCACAACGTGCACGTCCCCTCCGCACACACGGATGCACGGGCACACGTCTCATCCGTGCACACAATGCGGGGTAAGGACCTACTGCGCGTAAGTTGTGCGTAGGCGGACTGTCCACGCGTCACCCCGTGCACAGACTAGCGTTGCATACTGTGCACGCGCCGTCCACACAGTAGGCTAGCACAGATAGGCCCTGTGCACCTGGGGCTTG